AGATGAAGGTAGATGATTTAATACAATAATTTAGGAATGTTAACAATTTGTATGCTTCTAAAGCTTATTCACTATTTATTTGTTCAAAATTATCATTACTCTGTGGAAGTCATTATTTAACATCCATTACTTAGCCTTTACACCCCTTTCCTTTATAACCCATCTTCATAAATCAAAATACTGGATTACAAATTTACAAAGTCTATCTCTAAAAAGGTGAAGAGCAATTAGATTTAGAATTTTGGGTGGTGTATTTAAGGAATAATAAAAGTCAAACTAATGAATACAATTTTTTCAAATAAGACCGCCTTACCATCATATGACCACCTTATAGGTGGATTGGGCGAAGGGGAGAGAAAATTTGGGATAGGGTCATATGCTTGCAATGACTAGTAGAAGTGGTCTTATGTGGTGTAATTATAAGGGAGCGAGGGGAAACTATTGTACACATCTATTATTTGCTCCTTGACCCGATCGAACAGTGCAATGATGAGACAATTACATTACTATGATGAGTCTGCGAACTAGATAAAAACTAAGACTATGGACTTCAGAATGTGAGGAAAAGTGATCTCAAACTTCTCTAAAAGCCCAAAGAAAATCAATTACCAATGGCGCAAATTTTTAGCTAGGGTCGCGCCCAGCTAGCTGTGGAGTCGTGCAAAATTATTGTAAAATATGTTCAGTTAGAAAATGTTCATTTTTGTTATAATTTATGTTTAGTTTGGTAGCGACTTCATAAATACGTAGCTGGGTTCGACCTCAACTATTAACAATTGTACCAATGGACCAAACTAGCTTTCGTATTAATTAGACCCGAAATATGTAAAATGTCACTAGTACAAAACTAACCTTAAGTAACATCCAAAAACTATTACATAATGTGGTAATAGTGTTATTATAGACAATAGGTAACACTTTATTGGGTGATACTTCCGCCCATGTTACCTAAGGTCTTATGTAACAATTTGGGTGGCGTATGGTAACACTTTTAAAAGTGTTACTATAAACTCTCTTATGTAACACTTTTTATATTATTAATATCATTTTTAAAGTGTTACTTTTTATATCTTATGTAACACTTACTTATCTTTAGTAACATTTTTCAATCATATAGTATCACTTTATTCAACATTATCTTTATTCAACATTTTCCAATCATATAGTAACATTTGGGTATTTGATGTTGTTATATTATTCATAAAATTTTAAGATTTTAATTCAATCAAAAACCCTAATTTACAAACCCTAAAATTTGGAAATTTATTATTTATGGTTAAGGTTTGATCCTTGGTTGTTATTGTTGTTTAATTAATAGTTTAAATATGTTTTTAGTGAGTTTAAAGCCCTCAAATTAATGCTGGAATTTATTTTTGCACACTACTTTTTAAGAGTTAGGGTAGTATTACCCATAAAAGAAAAAACGGTTTTAATGATTTAAATATAATTTTCTAGTCTATTAGTGATGTTTTATATTAAATAAGTAGGCTGGAATTTTATTTAAGTCATAAAAACTAAGTCTTTTTGAAAGGATTTGAAGTACCCACTTAAAGAAAAGGTTTTACGGCTTTTATGTCATTGAATTGGGTGGATTTGTAAGGTTTAAACTGTATTATGGTTGCTGAAAATTTGTGAGAATAATAGATTAATTATAGTTATGTATTCTTTTTTGTAGGAAGCTTCGAGCTAGGTGATTTCTAGCGAGAGTGGCCGAGTTTAGGCATTATTCAAGGTACGTATGTACAGAAGAATATTTGCGTGTGCGTAGTATCATGCTAGGATTGTAAAGTATGATTTAAATGATGAATTAGTAGCATTTTGGTTGATTATATGCTTGGAATTGATGTTGGTTGAGCATGAATTGTTATGCAAGCATGTGAATATGTTATTTGAGGCATGATACAAGTTGAATATGTATGAATCATGGAAGTATGTTTTATTTCCAAGTATCAAGAAGGCATGTATTTAATAAGCAAGACTTATATATGAATGAAAGAGTTAAAGTTAGAATTATTGAGCATGATTCATGAATTTATTTCTCACCCATTTATAATTGGTGTTGAGTCAAGAAGTTAATTTACTTATATACTCGCTCATGTAAGTTGAGTTTGAGTCAAGAAAGTTTAATAGTGCATTTTATGCACCAATGTGTAGTAATCGTGCAATTTTGTGCACAAAAGTAGGCAAGGAACCCTAATTAAATAAATAGTATGTGCTCACTAATTAATTCAAGAATTAAATGGAAGTACATGTTGATTGTTATTATGTTTGTTCTTGATTGATTGGTTAGAGTCATCACAAGTTAAACTGGTAAATCACGTAAAGTGTAAGAGGATACGCACCAAGACTCTTGAAACGTATATACTTGGAGTATGAGCATATGGGGGGAGTTATGGAGTTTTATATTTAACCATAGCTTCTGCAAGGGTATAGGACGCTGTACTTTCTTTTATTATTTATGCGCTGAAATTCCGTCACAAGTATGACATAGTAGGTGCCAATTGGGGTAGCTCCCTGATTGGAAGCTCAATATTTAAATGCGCTATTTTCAAGGTAGGAAACTCATTCGATGCGAAATCCAAAAATTATTATTAATAGTTAATATTGCTAGTTATGAGTCAAAGGTAAGTTGACTTGTGATTGTATGGCGAGCATGTTTTAATTATTTTATTTTGATGCTAGGATATTCATGTTAGTGTGGTGCATATGTACTCACCTTTTGCTGATTTGTACTTTTGTGTTTGTGTTTGGCTTTCCTTTGGATTGGTCCTACTATGACCCATTTATATGGTGAGTAGAGGGTTAAAATAAAGAGAAAGTAATAGGTACTTGAAGTATGAAGAGCATGATAGGAAAGAGTGTAGAGAGTTACTTTTATGTTTCTTAGTTTGATATTTTTTATTATTGGTTTGTTTATGGACTAACGTTATTGTGTTTATTTTTAATTGGTTTTTAAAAGGGCCATGTTTGAATTGATTTCAACTTGTAAATGTTTTATTTTACATTTGTTTTGAGGTTGTGAACTCAAGTTTTATTTTTGAAAGTTGGTTTTTATTTTTATACTTCTGCTGTGAGACTTTGAAAATTAGCATTAGCTGTTATCACGATGGCGGTAATATTTTGGTTATTTCCTAAAAAGGGTTTAATTTAGAGAAAATGAGTATTTTTAAAAGAAAGAAATTTCCAGGGTATTACAAAGTGGTTTTTGGGAGCTTTGGTTGGATTTTAATTACCACTGAAGCCAAAAACGTTTTTCTTAGGTACCTATGTTTTAAAGCTTGGCCATGTGCTTATTTAATTAAGTTTGAAAATATCTTTAAGAGGTCCGATGTTTTTTTCTACAAAGGCCGGAAAAAAAAATTATTTATTTAAATGGTCCGAATTTTTTTTAATTAATAAGGGCTGAATTGTTTTTTATTTAAGGTGGTTTGAATTTTTTTTTTTTTCGGAGAATTATTTTCGAAAATAAAGTTCCATTTAAAAAAAAATAAAAATAAAATTATGTGTGCAGATATGCGAAGGAATTAAGGTATGTAATTATGTGTTAATTGCTTTTGAAAGCATGTGGTAAGATTGGGTAGGAAAGAAAGGGCATATAGATTAGAATTGTATGTTTTCCTATGTGCATATTTTATTTATGTAAGGTGTTCAAGCATGTTGTATGATAATATGTATCTATGCGAAAGCATGTATATGTGTAATAACCTAATTGTATGATTGAACACCAAACTTAAATTTTTGCAAGAAACTGTATACTCGACTGAAAAAAAAAAAAAAAAATTCTCTCATTGAGTCATAACCCGAAATACCTTGCAGGATATTTGATTTACCTAGTAAATTCACTACAACAGGTACTTTAGTAAAGAAGGACTATGAGCATGCGTGGGATTATATTCGCAGGATTCACTTTTATTATACTTATAGATCTAATGTATTTGGAGAGCATCATCTTAACCAACCTGATTATGTCTCTGCCATGATTGTTCATTATTTGCCTACTATCCTCCCCATGAGGCTATTAAGAATCGCTTTCGTGATTTTCATTTGCCTAATGGTATAGCTAACTATACTAAGTATAAGGACTCTAATGGTCAGTGGGGACCAGATTGGAGATATTTATACCGTTACATTGCTCATAAGGAATTCATTTACCTTAACCCTTAGTATGCTTCTTATCCTCCTCCTTACCATAACTTTGGTGATCCAGCTTCACAACAAAATGCACTTTATTATTCTTCAGAAACGATGATTCCATGTCTGAGTAAGAACCTGAGCAAACTTATGAGAGTCAGGGTGAGCCAATGGAGCAAGATAATGAGTCTGGAGATTCTTCATGTGAAATCATTCCCAATCCAAATCCTCCAAGCCCTCCAGTATTCATTAACTTAGAATCTGATGAGTCTAACTAAGATCCTGAGGAAGATGATGATGATGATGATGATGGTGGCAATGACGGTGATAATGGGAGTGATCCTGAGTAATCCAAAGAAGTACAAGCAGATAAAAGACAAGATTGACAATGTCAACATTTGAAGATTTTAGACTAACTTTCCTTAGTGCTTTGATTATTTATTTCATTCTTCATTCATAGTTACAATTTAATAAAGTACTGCGTGAGTAATAAGTAGCAAAGCTACATTTGGGATATTCCATACATTTCTTTTCAGTATTTCAATAAAGTATTATTTATTCTTTTTATATATATTTCCATCTTCAAACAACCTTATCAAACGTCATTTATTACGTTTATTTTTTGTAAATGGTATCAAGGGAAATGACTCAAAAATATTTTTGTGATATATTAATCTAAGTGAAATGGTTTCATGACAACCAAAACAATATGTTGAATTATTATTAGGAGAAATGAGTAGTTCGTTGCTTCTACTATAATTCAAAATGATTGCTTGTATGCTTGAATTAAAGTAGTTTGGTTGTTGTTTAGTTACGAGAAAGTTGTGACCAACCTAATAATAGTCATCTCTTTATTCAGGAGGACTAGGATGGCCGGGAGAAACAACAATAACAATGATATGAATGAGGTAGTAAGGCAATTAGCTATTGTAGCTCAACAGTTAGCTGAAAGGAATAATAATAACAATCCTGACCTTGCTGGGGAGTTGTTTAAGCAGATAGCCCAAAGCAAACCTCCTACCTACCAGGGAGAACCTGACCCAACTGTCCTTGAAAACTGGCTGATAGAGTTTGACAAGTTGTTTGTGGTAATAGCATGTCCTAATGAGTCCAAAGTGAGTATAGCAGCTTATTACTTAAGGGGTGAAGCAGATCTGAAGTGGCAGCAGAATGAACAAGCTGTGAGAGCATTACCTAAATTTAGATGGAATGTGTTCAAGGAGCAAGTGAGGGATAAGTTATACCCTATATTCTTGCAGAAGCAGAAAGCTGATGAGTTCTTGGAACTTAAGATGGGGAGTATGTCGGTAACTGAGTATTACACTAAGTTTATTGAGCTGTCTAGGTTTACTGAAGGTACTGTGGCTACTGATAGGCAGAAAGCTAGAAGGTTTGAGAGGGGATTGCCTCTTTCTCTCCAAAGAAAATTGTCAGGACAAGTGTTTTACAATTTGGATGAGTTGTATGGTAGGGGTAGTGCATTTACATGCGTTAGAATTGAAGGAGAAAGCTAAAAAGGCTAAGTTGGAAGCTAGGGAGAAAAGAAAGGAGCCTATGACTAATTTTAGACTGTCTAGGGAACCAGAATAACTTTAAGAAGCAAAAGTTTAACAACCACCAAGGTAATAACATCCAGAACAATAGGAACAACCAAGTTGGGCGCAATTTTCCTAAGGGAAATAGGAACCAACCTGGAGATCGTAACTAGAGGATATATTACTGTAAGAGATGCTCCAACAACAACCCAGGGAAAGACTGTGAGGGTAACTTAGTCACTTGTAACTTGTGCAATAAGCAAGGTGTTAGAATCCGCCTCTTTCTCTATGTATCCCCCTTCCTTTTTCCTTGTATTTTCCTTATGTAGTGTCTTCTAAGCCTTTCTTTTTGTTTTCTAGGCTCTAGGGGAAATTATTGTGTTACTGTAGTTTCAGCGTTCACTAGTATTTCTCCATGTAATCAATATAAAGCTCTTTATGGGGCAAATGGTTGAATGAATGAAAGCTCCTATCCGGGTTGCCTTTACTTTAAGACTTGTGTGTTTATTTAAGCCTTTATAGATATTGTGCTTGCCTTGTTTTAAAGCCTCCCCACCAAACCAATAGAACCTCAAAAGACGCCTTCCTTATCGTCGGTCCCGCTTGTGCTCGCTTCGAAATATCGGCAGTCACAAGCCCCAACTCAGCACTCGTTGTTGACGAGTGCTTCGTAGAGATACCTTTGGTCTGTGCTGCTGTGTGCCACCAACCCCCTTCGCTCTAGGCTTGCGTCCTTGTCGTCAATAGATAAGTGCGCGCCGCACGATCCAGTGTCAAAACTCTTGGACCGTGACACAAGGGCACAGGGCATATGAGTATTTCTCCAAGAATAAAGGGGGTCAAGGAAACAACCAATTTAAGGGTAGTGGACAAAATTGGAATCAGCAGAAAGGAGGTCAAGGGAGTAATGGGAATCAAGTGAACAAGGGGACGCAGTTTCAGAATGGAAATAAGAATACCAATAGTGGTAACACACAAGTCAAGGGTGGAACACCGGGAAAGCTTATTGTGATGGGTTCGCGTAAGGCTTACGTAGCGAGAGATGTCATTACCGGTACATGTTCTATAAACTCAGTTTCTGTTAAAGTTTTGTTTTATTTTGGTGCAACATATTCTTTCATTTCTAAAGCTATGCTTCCAAAACTATCGCATTGTCTGAAAATTGTAGAAGACATAGATATTCCTATAGAACTTCCAAATGAGGGTGTAGTTCATTGTACTAGGGTCTATAAGGATGTTCCCATAAAGATTAAAGGTAAGGAATTCCTATCCAACCTGATTGAATTTGAATTAGGATACCTTGAAATAATTCCGGGAATGGATTGGTTATGTCGTTATCATGCTGAGATTCGATGCCAGACACAAAAACTCCACTTGAAAACGACTCAAGGAGAGATCGTAACCCATTGGAGGCATGGAAAACCCAAGCATACTAAGATCATTTTTGTGGTGAAGTTGGCAAAATATATGAAGAAGGGAAACCTAATCTATTTCTATAGTGTGAGAAACTTGGAGTATGAGGAACCATCTAAACTAGAGGATACTGAAATAGTAAGGGAGTTTCTAGATGTGTTTCCTAAAGAGATTCCAAGTATGCCGCCAAAAAGAACCATAGACTTAGTACCTGGAACCGCACCTATCTCTAAGGCATCATATAGGATGGTTCCTACTGATATGAGTGAATTGAAAAGTCAATCACAAGATTTGTTGGAGAAGGGATACATATGACCAAGTGCATCACCATGGGGAGCTTCTATATTGTTTGTGAAGAAGAAAGAAGGTAGCATGAGGCTATGCATCGATTATAGGGAGTTAAAGGTGGTAGCCATAAAGAAAAAATACCTTTGCCTAGGATAGATGACTTATTTGACCAATTGAAAGGTGCAGCAGTGTTTTCTAAGATTGATTTGAGGTCTGGATGTCATCAACTGCGGATTGCGGAAGAGGACATTCCGAAAACGGCATTTAGGACGAGATATGGACACTATGAGTTTACAGTAATGCCTTTTGGGTTGACAAATACACCCGTAATTTTTATGGACTTGATGAATAAAGTGTTTCAACCTTTCCTAGACCAATTCGTCATGGTATTTATTGATGACATTTTGGTTTATTCAAAGAATGAAGAGGACCATGCAGAGCATTTGAGATTAGTATTAGCTACTTTAAGGACTAACCAGTTGTATGCCAAATTCTTGAAGTGTGAGTTTTGGCTGGAGAAGGTAGCATTTCTGGGACATTTTATATTTAAGGAAGAAGTGGAGGTAGATCATGCAAATATTGAAGCTATGAATGAGTGGCCTACTCCTAAAAATGTGTCGGATATTTGAAGCTTCTTAGGCCTAGCTGGATATTATAGGAGGTTTGTGAAGAATTTTTTAAAGATAGCTAGACCCATGACTTCGTTGATGAAGAAAGAATCTAAGTTCATTTAGAGCGATAAGTGTGAGGAAGCGTTTCAAACCTTGAAGAAGAGTAGTTTGACTACAGCACCACTGTTGACTTTACCTGATGGGAGTGGTTCTTATGATGTATATAGTGATGCATCTAAGAATGGACTTGGGTGTGTTTTGATGCAAAATGGGAAGGTGATTGCTTATGCATCGAGACAATTGAAGAAATATGAAGTTAACTACCCTACTCATGATCTAGAATTGGCAGTGATAGTGTTTGCGTTGAAAATATGGAGAAATTATTTATATGGAGTGAAATGTAGGATATTCACTGACCATAAAAGTTTGAAGTATCTTTCATGCAATCAACTTTGAACATGAGACAACGTAAGTGGCTAGAATTCTTCAATTACTATAAAATAGATATCCAATACCACGAGGGTAAAGCAAATGTTGTCGCGGATGCTTTAAGCCGTAAAGCAACTCATGGGGTGAACGCTTTGCTAGTGGCAGATGAACTTTGTAAGGAAATGAGTAAGTTGAACCTCGAGGTAGTACCACATGGAAAGTCGGAAGGAATGCTTAATAATTTGAGTATCTAACCAACGATATTCGAGGAGATTAAGGATAACCAAGTAGGAGATGTGAAATTAGATCGCATAAGGGAGAAGATCAAGCAAGGAAAGGCGTCTGATTTCAAAATCAATGATGATGGGAGTATTCGATTTAAGGGGAGGTGGTGTGTACCACAAAAATGTGAGGAATTGAATAAGAAGTTGATGGAAGAAGGGCATAATACACCCTATTCAATACATCTAGGAGGAGATAAGCTTTACAAGGACTTGATAAAGGTGTATTGGTGACCTAAGATGAAGAAAGAAGTAGCAGATTTTGTAGCCAAATGTCTAATCTGTCAGAAAGTGAAGATAGAGCATAAGAGGCCACAGGGAACAGTACAACCACTTGAGATCCTGGCTTGGAAGTGAGATTGCATCTCGATGGATTTTGTCACTAGTTTACCTAAGTCTAAGAATGGGAATGATACCATCTGGGTTGTGGTGGATAGACTTACCAAATCGGCAGTGTTTATACTATACCAATGAAAGAGACTTGGAAAATGGAACAACTTGAAAAGGCTTACATCAAGAATGTTATGAGGCTACATGGAATTCCTAAGGAAATCGTTTCTGATAGGGATTCTAGGTTTCTTTCGAAATTCTGGAAAAGTGTTCAAGAGAATTTTTGTACGACATTGAAGATGAGTACAACATTTCACCCTGCGATAGATGGACAATCTGAAGAACTATCCAAACCTTGGAAGATATGTTAAGATCATGTGTGTTAGGGCGCTGCTAAGCAGCCTTGCCTTGCAGGTCGGGCGCTGCCTGGTAGTCGCACCCACGCAACGCGCATCACATGCTCGCACACACTTTCATGCCCGCACTCCCTCTACAGCAACATGTGTGCTGCGCAAGCAGCCTTTCTAGATGAGGGTGGTGCTCGAGGATCGGGGCCTCGTTTCACATGCTCATGCTTCGGAATTTCATTCTGATTTTTGTGTATGACTTTAAAATTAATTCTAAATTGATTTTAGAACTAATATTGTGCAATATTGAAAATAAATCAAGTCCAACATAATAAATTCAATTTTATTGCACAAACCAAAATTAATTCACGAACCATTCTTTAAATTATTTTTGGCTCAACTTGATGCTACAAAAATTGAGGGTTATTCTCACAATTAATTAATAATGAGATGTGACAAAATAGTTGAATAAATAATCAACCATCCAATGACATAGTTTATCCAATATTTACTTATAAACTTTTGAATATTGTAACCTTCTAATGAAGAATAATAATATTTCAAGCACAAGTATGAACATTTATGATTTTAATCAACTTCCAAAATGATTAAAACCAAAAATTAGTTCATTATGGATTTTAGCAAGTTAAGATTCAGCCATTTAAACCATTAAAGATTGAATCTTTAACATTTTAAGGGCTTCAAAATCATCTTCTCCATAAACTTTCACACTACAAGCAATTTATTTACAAGAATGTAAAATATCAAGTTTATGCGAAATTAAGAGCTCGCCAAAATAAGCAACCAATATGACTTCATAAACATGCTTAATAAGGTGTAAAATTGCAGAAGATTAATGGTATAATCAAACACATAATCAAACAATTGCATGGCATAATTAGACAAGGTTTAAAGATTTAAAAATTTTCGTTCCAAACGAAGAAACCCTCGAAAAACTACTTTCTAGGTGGATATTGGCTTCTAAAAGGTCATTTTTAAACACTATGTAGATAAAGAATGATTTAAAGCGTCGATTCCACTAAGAATTCACTATTTTGGGTCAAAATCGGGGTTTTTAGGCCAAAAATAGCATAAATACGATTTTAATCTAATTAAAAACATGGTCCCAATCTAATTAGGATGCTAAACTAGAGATTTTTTAAATAAAATTAAATCACCTTAATTAATTTTTATTTGTACAAATTAAATGCAAGAGGCTCTTATACCGTTGTTGGGTTTTTGCGGTGCCCGAAACCGTGTGGAAACAAAACCCGATAACCGGATCGCATGCATAATAATTAGAACATAAACAAAAGCATGCAAATACACAAAAACATAAACACATAAAGAGAATAAGACAGAAAGAAATTCACCATAGACACGTGCTTCGCTCACTTATCGAGCTCGGACTTGGAAAACTTCAAGCCCCGCAAGTGCGAAACCTCCAATGGCTCACACCTTCGATCACCGAATCGGAATCGGCCCCTACCCCGTAGCTTAGCAGGGCTAGACTAAGGTTTTCTCGCTTTTGGAGATCCCGTAGAGTTCACCAATTCAAGTGAAAATCCCAATACATAATGATTGGTATTTATAGGGAATTGTTCCCAAGAATTCCCATCATCTTTCAATGTGGGATAGTTGGAAAAATGCCAAAAGAAAGAATTAATTTAATTATAAATTAAATAAATTAAAATGGCAAAACAATCCTCAAACAACAAGTGTCACAAGGAGAGCAAGGGAGTAGGTAAGAACCACAAGGGAAGGACCACCCTTCCCTTGCTCCCCAGGGCAACCCTCACCATTTAACCGACCCTAATAGGAACCGGCCATCTTGGCATGGCGCGACTGCCCAGCTAGCACGCGCATGCTGCTGCTGGGCTTCGTCCATGCCTTGCGTGCTAGCAGCCCTTGCTAGCCGCATTGCCGTAGCCCTTGCATGGCTAAGCCATTTCGAGGCTAGGGCTATACGTTGTGACATCATGTTTAATTAGTTTTTTCGTCTCGTCGATTGTAGAAATTCGACTCGACTTTCGATGCTTGGCTTAAACGCTTTAAGCTCGGAATCTGACGTCTTAGTTCGTAAAATCTCTATTGACTCATTTAATCCTTTGGATTAATTCGTCGCTTTGGTTGGGTTACACGATTAGTTGTGACCCGAAGGGTTCATTCAAGAGCAAGCTGTAACATTAATTATACATTAATATTACTTATCGGAAGCGGCCTCCAGCTAGGCAGTCCGATCATTTGACCTCACTAAATAATTAGCTTTCCTAATTTGTTTTGAACCCTCTATCGGAATAATACACTTGTTTAAAGGACACCATTCCTTTCACGATCAGGCAACTTACCTAGCCTAACTGGCCTAACTGGCCCCGCAACCTCAGCCTACCTGGCCTAACTGGCTGTTCAACCTCAGTCTATTAATTGGAAAATGCGCTTGTTGACTCTCGGTGACAAGCCGCCTCTGTTTTCTCAAGAAATTCTCAACTTTCCTTATCCGGCTAAAGTGAAAAGTGTACTTATGGGTGCCTATGATGGTACAGGAAAACCTGAAGAGCATATCTCCTCGTAATAAAATCTGATGTACTTGCAAAATGTAGATGATGCCACTTGGTGTAAATGCTTTCTATCCACCCTCAAGAGTGTGGCTCAAGACTGGTTCAACAATCTGCCAGTCAAATGCAACAATTGTTCCACAACTCTCAGCTTGTTGTTCGTTGGAAACTTCTACTACAATATACCACCCTGGAAGATTAGTCTTAACTTGGTAACCATCATCCAAGGGAAGAAAGAGGGGTTGCGTTTGTATGTTCAAAGGTTTAACATGGAGAAAGCACAAATTCAGAACCTGCCAGATAAAATGGCCTACTCAGAGTTTCTTCGAGGATTAAGGCATAATTGTTTCAAGTTTAACTTTATCAGAAAAAAGATTCGGACATACACAGGTGTTCTGCGGGAGGCCGAATCATATATAGAGGCAGCTGATTTTTATTCGCTTACAAAGGCAGAGGAGCCGGCCAAGGGCGCCG